CTTTCCCTTAGTTAGAGATCCCAGGGAGAGTCAATTAAGTGGATCTACTTTACCTTTCCAAGTATCAGTTTCTTCATCTGTAATAAAGAGATGCAATAGAAGCCCTCTTATCCAACAAAGAGAGGACTATTTCTGGAAAATAATAGAAAAAATTGAGGAATCATTAAATAAATTAAACTGTATATTCATGGCTGTATAAAGATTTAATCTGATGCCGGGAGGGAGAGATAAATTAGGAGTTTGGGATTAACATATACACACTACTATATATGTAAAACAGGTAAACAACAAGGACCTACTTTATAGCATAGGAAACTATATTTAATATCTTGTAATAACCTATAATGGAAAAAAATCTGGAAAAGAATATATATACACATATATATGTATATCATTTTGCTGTACACCTGAAACTAACACAACATTGTAAATTAACTATACTTCAATTTTAAAAAGTGGTTATAAAAAGAGATTTAATCTAAGAAATAGCTATTTGTGGAGCATGTCTGTATTTTTTTGGAGAATTGCTACCAGGAATATCTTTTTTTTTTTTTTCAGTGTTTAGGGACCAAAAAAAAAAATCCATTGATGATGATGAAATAATAATACAATAATAATAATGCTAACACCCGTGCCAGTTAGTATGTGTCCTCACTTTTCTAAACATTTCATATATATCAATTTATTTAACCCTCACAAGATCTATATGAGATAGATAAGGTAGATATTATTTTAATGCCCATTCTGTCAGTGGAGAAACTGAGGTACTTAATAGGTTACATGACTTTTCTAAGGTCACATAGCTTCTTAAAATTAAACAAAGTTTGCAACAATTTCCTTGGTTGCTTTGAGTACCAGAAGCTTAAAGCTAAATTTATGTTTTTTCTTTACAGCACTGGTAGTTGGTCTAAGCATTTTTTAAATGTAATGCCTTTCGTATCTTCCTTAATGAATTGATTTTGACTTCTTTTATTTTCAGTCTTTGAGTTTTTGTCATTTGTTTTATTGTATCAGTGTTTTCTGTTGGTAAATACCTCATTTCTTTTTGGGAAGTAGACAGTGTATTAAACTTTTGATAGATAAAAGATTGACATAGTACCCTGGATTAACTAATAATCTACTAACATTAATTAATAAGTTAGCAAAGGATGTGTTCATTAGCTGTCTGAGATAGGTGAGCATGGCAGAGAATGGCTAATATAGGAAAGGTCTGGATGGTGGCTGAGCCCGAGTAGGAGATGAAAGCTTGAGGCCTGGGTCTGGGGTGTAAAAGGCTAACAGGGAGAAGGGTGCTGTCTCGCTATTTAAGGCAAACTTTGCCCACCTGCTCTTGGTTTGGAGTCACCTTTAACCTCTCAGCCTTTGTGCCTCCTGTTTCTGTTTGTGTCCCAGAAAGGTGTCCTCTTCTTCATTCCACTTCAGCCTGTATTTCACTCATCTCTACACTTAAATCATGAGCACGCAGAGGAGGGTTTGTGGTTACTTGAAAACAAAACAAAACCAAGTGCTTTTTCCTCCTCTTCACCCTCCTTTTCTGTAAGAATGGCTTCAAAATTTCAACATTGAAATGGCCCTGAAAGTTTATTTAAGATGCTATTTTTCAGTGCCAGGTTTGAAATAACCCAGCCAGTGGCCTCTTTATATAAGGGAGGAAATAGCTTCTTTAGACATTTAATAGAGAAATAGATAGTAAAGAAAACTTCATAAATATACATTTGAAGGCTTTTAAAATAGTGACTGATTGGACTTCCCTGGTGGCGCAGTGGTTAAGAATCCACCTGCCAACGCAGGGGACACCTGTTCGATCCCTGGTCTGGGAAGATCCCACATGCTGCGGAGCAACTAACCCTGTGCACCACAACTACTGAACCTGTGCTCTAGAGCCCGCGAGCCACAACTGCTGAGCCCACGTGCCACAACTACTGAAGCCTGTGGCCCTAGAGCCTGTGCTCCACAACAAGAGAAGCCACCACAATGAGAAGCATGCACACTGTGGGATAGGGAGGGTGGGAGGGAGACTCAAGAGGGAGATGCGGGGATATATATATATGTATAGCTGATTCACTTTGTTATAAAGCAGAAACTAACACACCATTGTAAAGCAATTATACTCCAATAAAGATATTAAAAAAAAAAAGAAGCATGCACACCGCAACAAAGAGTAGCCCCTGCTCTCCGCAACTAGAGAAAGCCCACGTGTGGCAACAAAGACCCAACACAGTGAAAAGTAAATAAATAAAATATAAATAAATTTATAAAAAAAAATAGTGACTGATTTATTGAGATAAACAGTAAGTTATTTCTTATCAGGAATGGAAAAAAACACTGATTTATTTTATAAAAAGTCATTTTTAAAAGCCAGATATGGACTTCAGTATGAGAGATACTTTTTTCTTTCCTTTTCTTTTCTTTTTTTTTTTTTTTCCACTTTCTCTGCATGATAGAGCAGCTATCACTCAACAAATTGAAGTAAGTCAGGAAAACTACAGGATAATGAGGATTGATAGAAGTTGATTGGTCATGCAGTTAGCACAGGTGTGCATTCTCTCTCTATCTTTGGAGGAGATCATTGACCAATTTTGATAACCTAGTTTGTAGATTACAGTAACTGCAATTTCTGAGAATTATTTTTGCACTCTCTGCGTTTACAGTATAGGAATACCTATTTAGAAAAGCAAGCCTCCTGTTGCTCTGGAAGCAGAATTTGACATCAGTCAAGTTGGTGTTATGAACCCTGGTTGATTTCATCCATTACTTTGTCTTCCCTTTGATCGAAAGGCAGTGTACATACTTTTCCAGATCACTTGAAAACAGAGAGCCTGCAATGGCGCTTGGCAATGACATTCATTATCATAAATTGATTGTATTTTAGTCTAGCCTTAGAAATAAAAAGAAGTTTGTGTGCCATTTTTCCTTTACAGCAGAGCTCAAAATACACCTTCTCAGCAGTGCACTGAATGTCAGTATCAATTTCCATAGACTCAGAATGTAAAGTAGGAAAACCCAACGTCTGTGAGTGGGACTGAGGAATTGGTGTGAAGATAGCCACACAGTTGTTATTAAGTGACAAGTTACTAAGTAAGAAATCTGTCATAAAGAGAGGTTAATCTCATTAGCAAAACTGCTTCAGTGAAAATGTACTTTCCTACAGAAAATTCTGAATTCAGTAGATATGGTGTTGCATTCGTAGTTTTTGATAAAGTCTCCAGGTGATCCTTGTGCCCCCAGATTTTGAATATCATTGTTCTAGAATGTTATAGCTTATACTCTGTGTTCTTAGGCTTTGGCAGTTACCACAGAACACAGATCTGTGTGCTTACAACTAACATGTCAGTTACGGTTTTTGTTTGTTTATTTTTAAACATAGGAACTGGTTCTGAGGTATGGAATGGCTTATCAGAAAGCTTCTTTCAAACTGTTTTTGAGAGTTTTCCACAAAGAAAACCTAAGACTGGCTAGATGGAGATGATGACCAAGAAGTCTCATTGGTCTGTGGTTCTTCTCTGGGGCCCCTGACCCTTAGTAGGCACACAATAAACATTGGTTGATTAAATAAAAGAAGATGGTAATAAAATATGAATTCTTTTGAGCTGGAACGTCTCACGTTAATAATCTCTGTTTTTACCTTATAGCATACTTAGTTTACAAGGATACCTGTGTGTGTAAACACACACAAATGGGTGTGTATATCATGCACAATTAAATTAAAATTAATATTATTGCTGGGAACACCTTGATATATTCATTGATAATATTTTAGCCCTGAAGGATGCATCCTGCTTGGGTTCCATGAACTTTCAGCTGCTCTACCTCTTGTGATTTTTGGTTACTTGCCAATGAGCAGTCCATAATAAGGGTGGTATGTCAGATTTGTATAACCAGAGTGGAAGGTGATGGGATGTGTATTCGTGGCCTTTCTCTTTCAATCATGCTGCCCTTGGAAGACTTCTCAGGGGCCCCATCAGTCTGTTTTGCAGGAGCAGGCCACCCGGGTCTCCTTCCCCTTATCTTTACTTCAACAAGACTTGGTATCAAATGAAAATGTTTGTTTTATTTAAATTGGGAATTCAGTTGATATTGTTAATCAGTGATTGAGTCTGTAGAGTTATAATAGGTGTTTATTTCTTTGATGGGGATATTATTTTATCTCAGCAAGTTCAATCAATTACCAGATTTTTTACATACTTACATATTTCTGTCACAGTAGCACCAAAAAAACACAATTTTTATAAGTGTGTGGGTTTTTTTTTTTTAATCAGATTAGGCAGTTAAGATGCATTGATATTTTGATGAGGAATAGTCTAGTCTGGACTTAGCCTTGCCACTTAATTACATGGCTTCCCCTTTTAAACAGTAGCTTTAATAGTTTATTGCAGGAATTGACAAGTTGTGGCCCACGGTCCACCAGTTGCTGCCTGTTCTTGTAAATAAAGTTTTATTGGGACACAGCCACTCTCATTTGGTTTAAGTGTATGTGTATGGTTTGCATCCAACAGCAGTATTGAGTAGCTGTGACAGAGACCATCTGGCCCACAAAGACTGAAATATTTACTCTCTGGTCCTTCACAGAAAAAAAGTTGCTGACCCTCGGTCTATAAATAACAATTTAGTTTGGTGCCCTTGGCTCCTCATTTTAAAAATGCAAACTTCTAGTGAGCTTTTGATGTTTCAGGGATACTTTATAGTCTACACATAGCAAGAATGTAACCTACATTTTTCAAGGAATAATTATTCAATATAAAAGATTCATCTGGAAATCCATAGTAATTTCACATCAAGCAGAGGCCATATCTGAAAACTATACAAAGTATTTATTTTTTAATCTCATAACTTTAGAAAATGTCCTCTTTGGGGGTGGTTAATAGTATGAATTAGATTGAATTAATTAAGATATAACATTTTTGACTATATTAACGTTGTTTCTTTAGTTGTCTCTGAGACGGAACTTTTACTAAAAGAGCTGGAGCAAATGCTAGAGCAAGTGCGGGAGCCCACAGCCGCCCCTGATGAGTCCGAAGGGGAGCGCAGAGAGGAGACAGATACAGGAGAAAAGGTAGGGTCCATAGTGACCGTCAGGCCTAAACAGCAACTCCAGACTCCTTAAACAGCAGAAATTGTTCCTGGATCTTCATTTTCACTATATGGGAAATGCTTTTCACTTCTGAAACTTGAGCCCTTGATTATCATGAGGTGAATAATAAACTAGTAGCCTGTTGAGAAATCAAGATGCATCTATCAGTCTTTGAAAAAAGTATATTTGAGCCAAGGAGCTCTTTTATTTTACATATTTAAGGATGGAATGAAGAGAGATGGAGGGGCTCACTATCATCTTTACAGTCAGGAGAAGGTGCCCATCTTTACAGTCAGGAGAAGGGCCAGGACAAGAGCCGCTCAGGAAACCTGCTCTGCCTGGTTCATGCACAGGGTCGACCTCCATGGGGACAAACCTCATTAGTAACATCCTGGAGGTGGGGTTTTTCACTGGAATCTATTTCACCATTCTTAACTAAATTGTCTTTTTCTTTTGGTCAGCTATATTGGGCTGAGAAAGGCCATGTGTGCTTACTGTATTCAATATTTATATATGAAAACAGAAATTTTGAGTTGGTTGACACACTGCTCAGCACATCAGCTCCATGTCTGTGCAAATAAAATGAGGTACAAGCCCAGCTCATTAACACAGAGCAGCAGTGTGGCAGGTGTGAGAAAAATAAGTCATGGGGCAGATGCTTCCACAAGGTGGTACAGCTGTTCCCTATGTAGTTAGGAAGAAAAACAGCAGTGGGGAGCCCTGGAACCTTAAGGTTTCATTCCTTCTCTCATTCCCTCATTTGGGTATATAGTGTGCCTGGAGTCAGGAGGGCAGTGGATAGGAGACAGGCTCAGGATACAGTGCCTATGTGCCCATCCTGGTCCTGCCATTGAGGACTTGGGAGACTTGGCAAGGTTGCCTAGCCAAGGGTGAAACAAGGCAAACCAGGAAAAGTGCTTTGCAGAGTAATTGACACCTAAGCTTGGCTGTTATTACAGATGAGAATTGTCAGTGGCAGCTGCTGGAGAGAGTATGAGCTAAGAATTTTTCACTTTGTCTCTTTTCCCATATTCTCACTTTGCGGAACTACCCATCCCCAAGTCTGTCTGTTCTGAGATGCAGAAAAGGTGGATTTGTAAGTGGACAAGATTGTTTACCCACTTTGGCTGATTTCATTCAGAACTTCAAGAAGAATAAAGATGATTCTTAAATACCTCCTTGAGTGAGTTAGAAATCAAGAAAATATACAGAATTTACAGTTGAGATCAAAATGTCAAGGAAAATAAAATTAATGATAAAAACACTTGCTGAGCTGAAAAACATAAATGTTTTCTTGATCAGCGATACCAACTTGTACTTGAATTCCCATGGGTTGTGAATGCCATTTTTCCAATTAGAGTTCCTTTTTAAAAACAAAAACAAAAAACAAAAAACTTGTTGTCTCTATATAGATCCTACCCTTTGTAGAACAAGAGCTATAGATTGGTGATATATATATTGTATACATGTAGTTAATATACAAATTATTCTTTTCTAGCAAATGTGTGTTTTGTTTGAGCACCATATGGATTTTTGCAGTGGTTTTTTTTTTTCAGTCTTAGCAATTTGTCTTTTCAAAAATACAGCCAGGGGCTTCCCTGGTGGCGCAGTGGTTGAGAGTCCACCTGCCGATGCAGGGGACACGGGTTCGTGCCCCGGTCTGGGAAGATCCCACATACCACAGAGCAGCTAGGCCCGTGAGCCATGGCCGCTGAGCCTGCGCGTCCGGAGCCTGTGTTCTGCAACGGGAGAGGCCACAACAGTAAGAGCCCCGCGTACCGCAAAAAAAAAAAATACAGCCAGGTAGATTTTTATAGAAATGTCCTGGAGCTTTTACAGCCACAGAATTGGCTTCTATTTTGCCATTATAACTAGTAACTTCATAGAACAGAAAATTACTTCTGATTTTTATTTCTTAAGGTAAAATACATAGTTTTTATACATCACCAGCCAGGAGCTTGCTCTTTGTTTTAGATTCTTGTAATATTTTATGCTTTCAAAGTCATTTAGAAATTATAAAATTTAACCATTTTAACTTGCTGGTAGTAGGCAGGTGAGTGCCACCTGCTGACTGGTTCATAAGCTTCTCTCCACACTGAGCTTTACAAGTCTGGAATTCATGGCAGGTTCAGGGTACTTAGGGCCTTGTACACCTTTAAATAAGGAGAATAGCAATGAGACCAACTGTCAAAGCTGGAGCAATTTACAGCTTAAAAATAAAGAAATGATCACCTAAGGAATTTCTTTTTTTTATTAGTAGGAAAAATTAATATGTCTTCCAAAGGTAATACCACTTAACACTGAAGATGTGTTTTGTTTTTAGGAGAAAGTGGCCTTTACAAGCTAACACATCAAAAGGAGCCATCTGATAATTTTAAAGTTCTGAGCATGTTTATTCTCTGGGCAGATAGTGTTTGAGCTATTTTCAAAGTTGTAAATTTGATGATGTTTTCATCATTCATTTCATGTATGAGGTTTCAGGTTGATTACTCTCAAGCATTTATACCAATGAATTGAGAGTAGCAACATGAACAAAAAGCATACACACATGGATAATCAAAATCCATTTCTATTTGTCATTGAAATACTTTATGAGATTATTTTCCTCAGTAGAGTCACCTTTCTAATTAATTATGTTCTTAGCTAATATTAACACTAGTTGACATGCCCTGACGTGGAAAAAAATGGGAAGGAATTAATTTCAGATTATTATAAGAATCCACCTGAATAATTCACAAATTAGATAGTCCATATACAGATAAGACAGAGTTTACTGAATAATAATTATTTTAATAATTATTGTAATGAAAGGTACATTTTTGATACATGAAAGCACTTGTCTAAACTGCATGTATTTTTTTTTAATTTATTTATTTATTTATTTTTGGCTGCGTGAGGGCTTCGTTGCTGCACGCGGGGCTTTCTCTGGTTGCAGCAAGCTCTTCATTGCAGTGCACAGGTTTCTCATTGCGGTGGCTTCTCTTGTTGCAGAGCACAGGCCCTAGGTGTGTGGGCTTCAGTAGTTGTGGCACGTGGGCTCAGTAGTTGTGGCTCATGGGCTCTAGAGTACAGGCTGAGTAGTTGTGGCGCATGGGCTTAGTTGCCCCGCGGCATGTGGGATCTCCCCAGAGCAGGGCTCGAACCTGTGTCCCCTGCATTGGCAGACGGATTCTTAACCACCGCACCACCAGGGAAGTCCCATAAACTGCATGTATTTTTTTTTCTTACATTGTGTGGGAAGTTACCTCTGCCTTTAATGAACCTTGAAGTTGTAAATCTTGCGCGCGCGCGTGTGTGTGTGTGTGTGTGTGTGTTTGCATTGTTTTTACCTGTGTTCTTTCCCACTAAGCTAGCACACACTCTCACTGTTCATAAGGAATGCAGATGCTTATGAGAAAATGAGAACAGAAAAGTGTGACTAAAACAGTTTTAACTTGTATTCCCCATAATAATCATTTTTAAAATAAACAAGTATAGAAAACTCTCAGAAGTTTAATTTTAATGACCACATTTTGCCAAAGCATAAAATTAAAACTAACTAAAAATGTGTGATGTTGGAGAGTAGAGACAGGACTAAATACTATGTTATTTTTACACTCACACACTTACTGTACGTTATACTTTATGTGGGGATCATTATTTGACCACCAGCAAATGGAACACCTTCTTAAGGAGTTACTGACAACTTTATGTTTTGTTCAAATAATTAAGCCTGGTCTTCAAGTAAATTTGATGACTTGTATGATTATTTTTACAGTTATCGAAATGTGGCCCTGAAGCTCCTGTTGGCAGCTCACTTGAGAACCACTGTGAAGAGGACTATCTTGTAATTGATGGGCTAAGATTAAAAGCTGGAGAATGTATTGAAAATATAACTAACAAGTTTAAAGAAATAGATGCGTTGATGTCTGCATTTTAGGGCATTACAGATATTTTCAAAAGTTAATTATAAAAACATTTACATCTTTACATTTTCCCAAAGTCAAAACTTAAAAATGTTTAGTGAAATAGGTATACATTATACCGAAGTTGTTATTTCTAATAACTTTCTACTTGTGTTTTGAAAATATCCATTGTTTTGAGAGTCAATCAAATGGTAATTAAGTTAGTGTTATAAATTTAGGATCTGAGAAACCCTGATATTTGTATTTGTAGGTTTTTTTTCTTGTTTGCCTTAATTTTAAAATGGCTTATGAAACCTACTTCACAAATACATGCTTTACAATGATTATTTAGGCCCTTAGTTCAAATGTGGCTAACTGTTAAAATGACTGCCAATGCTATTATAATTCTTACAGATATTTCAAATCTAATATACTTAGAGAATGTGAATTTGTAGTAGAAAGAAGCTACTGTAAAATAAAAGGAAATAATAAAAAATGGTTGTGTAATAGAGTTGGAGCTTTTCTTAAAAAACAAAAATGTCAATTGCCTTATTATACTGGAAACAATCTTTTCAGCTACAGTTCCCTAACTGAGTAACAGAGTCTATGGAGGGTCTTTGGAAGATTAGAATCCTGGACCCTTCCCCACTGAATCAGTATCTCTGGAGGTGAGGATGGGAAAATGTAATTTTAAATATATAGAGGTAAGTTAAACGTATTCACTCTAGAAAAATCTAAACAGTATACAAAAGTAAAAGGTACATCCTGCAGTACCACTTCCTTAACATCCCCCCTGGAGCCCCATTCCTTAGGGGTCCCCATGAATGGTTTCGGTGGGTGTCCTTCTCACTCATGTTCTGTGCTCATCAACTTGTGTGTCTGCACATCCATCTCCAGTTCTAGCTCTGGCTCCCTCTCTATACCTCACTCTCCCTGGGGGCAGGGGTAGGGGAAAGGGCATTCCACGCACATAAAAACAAAAACCAAAGCTTAAGCAGAGAAGAAAAGAGAGCATCTGGGCCCTGGTGTTGGTTGAAGTAGCTGGAGTGGAGTGTGATGGGGGCAAGTTGAGCCACAGCAGATGAGGAGGCTATGTACCCAGGCTAAGCAACCTGGGGAAGAGGTTCAAACATTTGAGGAAACTCACAGCAGTGCAGTGTGGGTGAGTGAGCAGGAGGGACCGTGGAGTCAAGAGCGTCAGCGGGCAGGCTACTTGGTAATTTGGTTGTGAGAGCATGGGGGCCTCTATTATGGTGGTGCCTTGATGGAGAGAAGCAGGTAGAGTCAGGCTCAATTAACATGAGTGGATGGTCAGGACTTGGAGATCGGATATAGGCATGGGACCAGGTTTCTGGTGTTCACAGTGCTGTTCACTGAGGTAGGAACACATGCATATTAGAAACGTAGGACACATGTCAACTTTGGGCCAAACTGTGTAAGTTCAGCTAAGAGTCTAGGCTGTTCATGCTTTAACAAAATCTATGTTTCAACACCACACTACGAACCAGAGTGACTAGGAACAGTCTCTCCACACATTGTATTTCAATTCTAAGTGGTTTAAAACAGTGAAGGCTAAGGCTTCCTTTTTCTTCCAGCTGAATTTACTCCAGAGTATTTTAGAAAAACTCTTTCACTTTTCCTTAGCAGTATGATTTTATATTCACAGCCTATGAAATACCTCAAGAAGTAATTGATCCCATTGTGTGTTACTCCTTAGGATCAACTATAAAAATGACTTCAACTATATTTGCAGGACTTTATCCACAATTCAGGTGTTTAATCTAAACCCCAACTAGTAGGTCGGTTAGATCACTTATAGCTAATTCCTCTTGGTGGAGCAGCCGGTGCTTATCAAAGTGAGAGTCCGTACGTAAGATGCTGAAATTTCCAGACTGAATTCGACTCTGCAGTGGTCTAAGTGATAGAGTCTGGAATGTCCACTGGAGTCTCTGTGAGCTTGGGCAGCTCAAAATGATGCTGCAAACAAACATTTGAGTTGGCTCTTCGGCAGAGGAAACTGCAGTCTCCTTCCAAGAAGAGGCTGGGGGAGCCTCTATTCATGTGAAGATACAGGCTTTCAAATTTCCAGATGCGATGTGCCCAGGAAGAGGATGAAGGTGCAGTCAACTAACATCTCTGTCCTCAGGGCTGAGAATCATGCCTGGCTGAAGACCCTCCCCACAGGTAACATCCCATGTGGAAACAGAATGCCTGCCTTCAGATCCTGGTGCTGCCATCTACTAGCTGGGAGACCCGAGACAAGTTATTGAACTTCTCCGAGCCTAGGCTTCTTTCCATCTGTAGAGTGGAGGTTACTGTGAAAGGAAACATAATAAGCTACATAAAGTGTGTGTAACAATCGGAACACATGGAAAAGATGCAAGTTATGACTATGAATGTCATTGGCTCAGAGCCTTTCTCTTCTGACTGCCGCTGCCATGCTCCTCTGGGTCCTAATAGACTAACATCTTCCTTTCAGCACAGCCAGAGGTGACACCTACTTCTGCGGGTCTGGGACCAAGGATCTGATTAGCTGCCTTCTAGAGCAGGCCTAGAGGTGAGCAGTACCCTACGTTTATAGCCAGAGCGTCTAGTTGTGCCCCAAGGAAAACGTTGTAAGGAAATTGCATCTGCCTTCCAAGGGAAGTTAAACTCTATGTACACTAGTTACACCAGGTTTGATATGTGAGGCGTAAGGCAATATGTCAGGGCCTTCTGCCCAAGCATTTGGATTCGAGTAAGGCCCCTCTTTATCCAGTTTGAGGAGGCTACCTGATCCTTTTTGGAATGATTTGGGCTAAGTCATCCCAGTCTACAGCCTCCATGAACTTAGGGAGGGTCAGCACCCATTGGAAGCTGAATCCCCAGTTAGACCTGCAGACGCTGGAGAGTTGAGCACTGAAGCCAGCTCCGTTACCCTATATTCTAGGAAGATCTGGTCCATTTGCCCCATGCTAGAAGCCGAATTCATTCAGGGATTTCCATTGGTAAGAGGCTTAGCTCTATCTTTACTGGAGACAAACTGTGTACATTGAATGGATTAGTCTCTTTTTGCCTCCAGTGGGACAAAGTCTTGCAAGAGTCTGTAATGTCTATAGCCTTGGCCTTACTGACTCTGCAGTGGAGGCCAATGGGCCACAGTTATTTAACCCATCTACTATAGACCTAGGCGCTGTCATAAACTTTGCAGATCAGTCTAGAGTCTTTGTGGAAAAAAATGGTGGATTGCTCGTATGGACACTGGGGGGGAAGTGGCGGGGGTGGTGGTGGTGGGATGAACTGGGAGATTGGGATTGACATATATACACTAATATGTATAAAATGAATAGCTAATAACCTGTTGTATAAAAAAAGTACAAAAAAAAATGGTTGTTTGCTCTTTCTAGAAGAACCTTGCATTCATGAATCTGAGGTGACCTGTGTAGTGCTTTAGGTCAGGGGTCCCCAACTTCCGGGCCACAGACCGGTACCTGTTAGAACTGGGCCGCACAGCAGGAGGTGAGCAGCAGGCGATCTAGCGAAGCTTATCTGTACTTACAGCTGCTCCCCATAGCTTGCATTACTGCCTGAGCTCCACCTCCTGTCAGCATTATGGTGAGTTGCATAATTATTTCATTATATATTATAATGTAATAATAAGAGAAATAAAGTGCACAATAAATGTAATGCGTTTGAATCATCCTGAAACCATCCCCCTCCCCGGGTCCGTGGAAAAATTATCTTCCACAAGACCGGTCCCTGGTGCCAAAAAGGTTGGGGACTGCTGCTTTAAGTGGAACCAGATCATTCTGCCATCTACTGCCTCTACCAAATAGCAGGTGATCTATGACTCCACCATATTGGGGCTGACAAATGGTAGTGTTCTGTTCCAGATACTTCCAGACCAGTAGAATTTGCTGTGGCCCTTCCAAAGGATGAAGGTAAGATTTTGAAAATTTTTGAAATAATCAAGTCCTGTTCTATCATTTTTCTCTCTATTGGGTCCCAACAGGAGACATAGTACAATTTAAAAATTCTAATATTTCTTTAGGGCTGAACCAGTTCTTGATACCACTCAGTGGAGTTCTAGAAGAGTTGGTTAGTACAGATAAATTTGGTCTTAAGGTCCAAGTGGGACATTCTCTGTGAACAAATCTAAATATTAGGATTTTTCCATCCACTGATTTGTTGCATGGTAAAATCACTCAAAGAAGTGAGCAACATAATCAAAGGAAAGGGCAGACAGAAAATTTTTGAAAGAATGAGTTGTTTGCTTTTAAATGCATACAGTAAGTTACTATAAGGAAGAGATGCGCTCAAAACAGAAACCAAACAAAAGAAAAGAACAGTTTGCAAGCAGCCCAGAAGTTGCTACTTAGAAAATAAAACTGTTATCTTCAGCCAGTCTAGGCAGGAAAAGATTCTTAAATTAAGATACAGCCTGGGGAAAAAGATTAAGTCCAGGGAATGGTTGTTGAATTATATAACAGGAAAGACAAAGACCAAATTCAGGTGGCTTGCAAGAAAACATGGCTTCAGGGCAAAGACCCAATCAAGGGTGTGGCTGTAACACTGCAAAATATGACAAAATGACTTTTTGTAGCTCTTTCAGCTGGACAGACGCATGGGCCCACAGCCACTGGATGTGCCCAAAGTGCTAGTAATTCAATCTGGAGAGAGACGTGTCTTGAAATAAATTGTGATTTTGACACATGGAATGAACTGCAATCAAATCCATAGAAAGCCCACTAAGTTGTAGAGAGAGTGATATTACCAAAGTCCTACCAGCCTGAACTAAAGAGACTGAAACATTTTTTGAGAGTGTCCAATTTCAGGTGGGAAGCAGGCTGGGAAAACGTAGACACCAATGAAAGGTATAATTTTCAGTGTCCTCTTCAGAAGCAATGAGGAGCATGATGGCAAGGGTATCTCAGGACAGAGCCAGGAGCTGTAGAGAGCATGGACTGTGGGTCCCAACCCTTACCCCCTCCCCCAACCACTCCTCCCTTTCCCTTGGGAACAGAACCAAGATCCAATCAAGAAACACTTCCTATAA